AATGTTTCAGCCTTTCTTTTCTCTTTCCACAAATGCGAATGTAACAGTAAAGCCAAGTGACAGGTACTCCCACACTTGCTGGTATTCCATCAGTCAGGCACAGTTTGAACAGCATGGGGCACAGATGAAGCTGCGTAAGCCAGCACCTATTAGCTGCTTCCTTTGATTCTTCTGCTACTGCTCAGACACAGGGCAGGATGCTGCAAAGGATAAGCAGCACTAAAAACAGACCAAAAAATTATTATCCCAAACAAAGGTCAATAAGGTACTCTGAAGACCTTCTCTGTTTCACTTTCTGGTTTTTAGAACAAACTATCCTGTCAAGATCTCAATGGTTTCCGTGAGCAGGAAAGATAATTCAAGATCTCTTTATAGTCTGAGAAAGTTTTAAAAAATGCAGCATGCAGTGCAGCAGTTTGAACCCTCTCATACAAGACTGAAAGATAAAGAAGAAAAGTAAACATGATGAATGCTTTTTCCTGCTCCTGTTCTTCTCTTCATTCCTAAATTCCTCTCTATTGCTAAACAGAAGACACAATTTTCCAATTAATTTTACAAAGTTAATGTTAGGCTGTGGTAGGATTGGGGATGCTACTTCCTCAAACTAACAATTCTTTACATATTATTTTCAGTCCTTGAGAGTGTCCAGAATGAGCTGGGGCATTGAGATCAGTTTGTGGCTATTATGTTCATGACTGTGCGTTTCTTTTTCTCATAATAGTTATGTTACAGATCCTTACATGCAAACCCACTGTTTTTCAAATTAATGAATTCAGAAAGTTGAAATGCATGTCCTACAGGTGAGAAGTGAATCTGCAGACATATACACCAAAACAAATAGAAAAAGTCTTGGGCAACTCAGTGAGCTTTCTGGCTGGGTGCTCTTTGAAGTTTTATTTTGTACAGTTGGACGTGCCAAACATTGAACTTTTGGTAAGACTGAAGCAAATTAAAAGTAAATGCAGAAATTCTCAGAGGTTGATATCTGAACTGGAGAGCCTTAAATGGCTGATGAATTTCAGCTTGCAGAGTCACTATGCCATAATTGCATGGTTATGAACTTTTATTAGTTGATTGCTCCCTTCTAACCTGCCCATTTTTTAAATCATCACAGGCCTTTCCCCGCTCACACTGAGGCCAAAGGCTGTGTTCCAACTGCTGCTCCTGGCATGTGGGGCAGGGCTGCAACCCACAGTACACACTGCTAGCAGAAGAAAGGTCTGTGAAGAAAGGAGTCCTGCTGCTCCCACTGAAAATCCCATACCTAAAATAGTCTTTTTTTCCATCAGAGTTGTCCTGGGCCCTAATGTATTTCCTAAGTGGGTTTTCTGGAAACTGTGCATAGAGAATTACTAGTGGATTGATTTCCCAACCACATAAAAATCAGCCTACATTTGAGCTGGTCACAATAGTGCAGGTTTGACAGAGTCCGGGTAAGGCAGAAAACACCCTTCTTCAATTTTGAGGCTTTGACTGTGTGTCTCTAACGTATATATTTGACTGAAATAATCCTTCAGGCAGGCACCAATTTCTCTTCTATAACAGAGACATAGAGTCCTGATCTTGACTGAAATTTTTTCAATCTATCAGGATGTAACCACATGCATAAGTAATAACTGGGATATGTTTTAGCATTTTCCTCATCTCAGTGAAGTGTATATATATATATATATATATATATATATAAGTGGCATCAAAATACTGGATATTTCTGCTCTGCAATACTTATGTAAATCACTACTATTTTGGACACAGTTCTCTGTTAGCACCAACATTTGTGGTTTGCAAAAGGCATTATTCTATGCTTATGCTTGGCATTCCTACTGGAATTACAATTCTGAGAAATCATCTCAGCCATCTAAAGGGGCTTGTGCATGAAGTTCCTGCTCCCTTAAACACTGCTTAAGCCAGAATGACTAATAGTCTTTTTCAAGGATGACTAGATTTATATATCTTCCCCATGGGCTCAGTGCTCCTGTGCAGCCAGGAAAGCTTTTATTAAAATGCTAGCAATATAGTTACATTTTACTCTCAATACCTGCAGACCAAAGACTTCTACAGAGTAGAATACTTCCCAGCAGATCAAACTGCACAAACAGCAAACCAGGAATGACTGAGAATCACACTGATCTCACAGAAAACTGGCACTGCATTTCCAAAAATAAATTCCAGTTCCAACCCTTTCATTCCCACAATCAAATACAGGTGCAGCCGTACAACAGTAATCAATGGCGGATAGAGACAGATGTGCAACTATCCAATTTGCAAACAAAGAACGCACATGTCAGTAGCATGGAGGACCACATCTTCACTTCAAAGAGTTTAGGACTGGATTTTGGCAGGCAAAAACATACATGTGTTTGGGAGGCTCAACAGTGCAAGAAACGATCGTATGCTCACTAATCAAAATCCAGCAGAGGCCTTCTTTGACAATTTGGCCCTAAATATTAAGCAGTGCCTGGGGGCTGATTAAAATTGACCTCTCCAGGGCATAGATCATGCAACACTAAGAAAACAAGCTGAAGAAACAGAAGCAAAGACTGCTGTTCTCTGCATCTTTATTGGTATGAAAACTCTTAAGACGCCAAACAAGGGGGGGCGTTCAGGGGGAGACGTTAATATCTGAGGAGGGAGATCAAAAGCAGTTAACATTCCTGGCACTGCATTGTGGCATGTGTATCTTTATACTTTTAAACTTACAGTAAAAAAAAAGAAAAAAAAAAAAAGAAAAGGAAAAAAAAAGAAAAAAGAAAAAAAAGAAAAAAGGAAAAAGAAACATTTCTTTGTTAAAGCAAATATTGCCACATGTTACTCATTTTAAGTTTGCTGTCCTAAGATCCAACTTAATTTAGTCTGCATTGAACATTTCTGATCTGAACATTTAATGTGGCAATGTTTTGCTCTGCCAGGAGTATTATCTGAATGTTAAACATGAACTCAATTTATTCATCAGAATATGGCAAGCATGATACCAAAGGTCATTTTGTTTATATTGTCCTCCAACTCCATAACTTACAGCCTGTTTCTTTCATCTTCAAACCTCAGAACACTCAACATTATTGGATGTTACAATGTGGGTAAGAGAACTGGATTTTTTTTTTAAACATTTTTATTTGGAGCTGGAGAGAAGGAAACACCCTTGTTCAGCAGCAAGGAAAAGCACAGAAACATGCAATAACACATCTTCTCCATCATGGACTGGTAACAGATATGGTAACTGGTAATAAGATAAGGTTGCCCCGGTATGGAAGATGCATAAGAAGCTGTGTGCATTACATCTTAATGCTCACAATGCAATTATAGCCTTTTGGTTCTGTAAGCAGTTGCTGATCTCAGCCACATCAGAATAAAACCACAACCACCACATATGCATTTTTCATGCAAAACATGGCCACAAAGTCTTTGCAGAACCCAAGCCAAATTCTGATGTTAATGACACTGGCAGAACTTTGCAGTAGTACCACATTTATTTGCTGCTTTGCTGTTCCAAACTGTACCTAGAGTAGCAAGATTAACTTAGAAACTGGTACCTATTCTTCAGAAAGCATTGTACGTTGCTCATATTGCCAGTTAGGATGATTCCAATGCTGAAAATGCTTGTCCCTCCTCCTCTCAACATCTAAAGGCAGCTTGAATCCAAAAGAATAGAACCATACAAATGCATAAGCAGGTAGATGAAAGACATGACCAGAAACATCTATTTCAAAATAACCCAAACCATTATCTTTCTCAAGTGGCAGAAACATATATCCATTCTTTACTATTTGTCAGTGCTTCTAAAGAAATATTAGTGTTCAGTCTGCTTGCTGATAACTCGCTTTTAGTTTATGATTTAATGAATTCAGATGTTAAATTTTCTTTTATCTTATTAGAGAGTCAGTTCCCTGCTATTATATTGAATTGCTAGCATTTTCACACAGTCACATATCAGATATCAGGAAAGAAATCTGTTAATTCACTATCAATAAAATCCAAAGAAACAAAACTGATTATTGGTACTCAGGCTTTTCAAATCCAGGCCATAGAATGATTCAATATGGTATTGATACTTCCCATCAAAACACTCCTCTGTGCATTATAAATTTGAGGCTGAGGGAAAAAAAATATTTCAAACTGTACCAGAAGGAGCACTTTTACAGAAAACCCTAACCAAAGCACCCTAATGCCCAAAGGAGCTCCCAGAAACGTTGAGAGGTAACATGATGCAGATATGCAGATATTCAAGAGGTCTAAATCCAGTGCCAAGTGCACTTTTTGTGACCCAGAAGTCTCAGCTTGCCATCTGAGTGTTTGGCTGATCCAGAAAGGCATCTTCATGACAGTGGAATTCCCTAAAACTTGCAACTCTAAAACGTGGTGTTAATTGGAGATTGACAGTAAGCTGTCCCAAAGCACCAGGTATTGGACTAACTCTGCTTTTGTAATCTTAGCTCTGATTATGGTGACAGCAGAATTAAACCATAATTCCCCTCAAAGAGTACTCTACTGATGACAATTTAGAACATCAAGGCTGTATTTTAAGTTTAAATATTAGCAGATCCCATAGTTATATTCCTCCTCAATCACTATTTATGAAAGTAGTTAGTGACCTCAACAATTAGCTCTATTCATTCAAAGGCATCCATTTTTTAAATTTTACAGATAAAGCCACCTTAAGTCTAATAATTACAAAGATTTTTTTTTTTCAGTGACAGACATATACACAAGTGCGTTAATTGACAGAGTACCTTACCTCCGTAATGCATTCTTATGTTTTATATACAGGTAAGCTTCAAGAGTGCATTTCTTAATCCAATGAAATATTTATCAGATCTGAGATCTAAAGTGTACATATTCAATTTTTTATGCACACCTTTACATGATTCATGAAATTCACTCATAATGTGAGTTCTTTTCATTAAATTTTGTTTTTATGTATCATTGTTACCTTTTTTTTACAACCAGATTTATATTGAACTGACAAATATCATTCAGATATCTCTGAACAAAGTAGCTCTTACCTTTTGATAGAAATCATGAAGCTCTAGCTCCTGTGGTAGGTTTCTGTGTAAATAAACAAACCAAAAAAAAAGAACTAAATTCAGAATAATGTTAAATCTGCTGTGAAAAACAATGTGTTACATTATGTGAGTTAGTTTCTTTATTAAAGTTTATGAATAGGTTCACAAATGGCCACTGCTGCATGGAATAACACTGATTAAAAGAATATTCTGAATGTATCTAGAAATGCACCATCACAACCTAAAATGGATTTGGACTGAAGATTGTTTGGTTTCTCAATCAAATCTGTGCTCTCATACATCTTAAAGGGCAGCTGGATTTTCAATCAAAATCAAGCTCCTTTAAACTAAAATTTAGTTTTGCGTTACAGGTACAAGGGAGTATAAGTTACTTGTGAGGAACAGTTTGACTGTTGAGATATTTGTGTTGGGGTTTGTGTGATTGCTCTGTAACCATTTCATCGAGCACAGCATCGGGGGTGGGATTTGGGCACTGGAGCACAGAGGGCTGTGAGCTCCGCTGCTGCAGCAGCAGGAACTGGTCCAAAGCTCGAGCGGTTTGTTTGGGGTGACCTTTGGCTCCCTCTGCGCTGCTCAGGGCTTCCAGCAGCACTCGGTGAGGGTGCTGAGGAGTGCCCCTCGTCATTCAGCAGATACTCCTGTGGCTGCCTCAGGAAACAGCTACCCAACGCTTTGTAGAACCAGGCTTGATTTGAAAGTCACCCAGGAGCACGTTTTATTCCTCTAGGAAAAGGGTAAATGTCACAACACATTGATACCCCACAAGCCAGATACAAAGACATGTCACAGTGTTTGGCCAGCATTCTCCAGAGTGCAAAGCATTTATTTATAGAAACAACCTAATAGACAGCTGGCCTCCCACCTTAGCCCTCCTGTACTGCCTTTTTTCATTTTTTGGAAACACAAGTTTGGGTCCTCCACACTAAGACACCTTTGAGGTACTCTCAACTCATACAGACTGCATAGGAGACATGGGCTTGACACTTTGTATAACCTCCCCTTAAAAATGGGACTAATAAAAAAAAGTTTACAATGTCATTTTTCAAACTCAGCTAAACAGCACAAACTGCCGGAATTACATTAAAAAGTCACAAAATCATAGGGAAAATATTTTAGCTTTCTAAATAATTTGAGGTACAAAATTGCACTACTTAATGGTAACTCTGCACATTGTATTTATTTTTCTTAAGAGAAGGAATACTTTTAAGTACTAACCCCAGCTAATGACCCTTTACATGAACTAATTCCTCAAATAACATCACTTTTTCTTTCCCTTAGTTTCAGTGGGAGGAAAAGAAAATCCAAATACCATCCCTCTTTCCTTCATCGCTAAGATCAACATTTGTTCAAACACAAGTTATAGGCAGAAGACAGAATGTCTCTACTGTGAAAATGGGGGTAGGAAATATTTCTTTGGCTGGAAATTAATTGATGTTCAAAATCAGAAAAAAGATTCTGGCTTTTAATACTAGCTCCTATTAAAAAAAACCAAACAGTATTATACACATGTATATACACAATGTGTATAGTTTTATATGTTTTATATATATGTTCCACTATATACAGTAGTTAACTGGCTGAGATCAGGATTTTATTTTTCCTTGAAAAAGTTGTTGTCACAAAGACTTACAAAATATTATTGCGATAATCCCAGTGACAGGGCTATCTGTGCAGTCAGCAATTTCAGCTGTTTATGGTTCAGAACATATAGAGTATTTTTGCAATTAAAACATAACAAAAAAGGAGACTAGTTTAATAGCTGAAACCACTGTAAAAACTAAGGTCAACTACTTGAAAGAACAAAAAAGCGACTGCAAGATTAGTTTCCCTTGAAGTTTTCCTCTAGAGCCTTGTAATCTGGCATGCCAAGCAATACACTCACTTCTGAGAAACTGTTCCAAAACACCAGAATTTTCAGCTGTAGAACATCACTAAACCTTCATAAAACACAGTCCCATACTACTTTTACTTACATTGTTAACTGTTGCTTCTAGACATGGTTTAAAAAAAAGTAAATTAAAATAATCTAATTTTTCAGTAGTTTAATTTCTCCACATAGACAGGATTTCCCAAACTTGCACAAAAGCTTTGTGTTATCTGTAGAAAATGACCATTACTGGTTTTCAACAGCCAGAGGAATGCTCTCCTTCTCAGAAACATTAAATAATATTTGAGCAGAAAGATTGTCCTGAACTTCTACTCAGAGACTAGAAAACTACATTAGTCTAGAAAAAAGCATTCCTCCAACTGAGCATGTATGCCTGTGGCTGCACTAAACTCTTTCCCCAATTAAATTGTATCAGTGTTGATAGCTCAATCTCCAGGAAACTCTGTCATTATGCCATCAGAGAAAACCGATGTTGATTCCCCCCTGCAGATCTCATTAGTGAGGCCAAAGGTGGGAAGAGAACCTCACTTACTCTTTCAAAAAGAGAGGATCGCCACAGAGGTGTCCTTTGTGTGAAAGTACAGCCTGGTGTGTAAGTCATGTTTTAGATTCATTTAAAAAAATGAACAAATCCAACAAGAGATGCTGCCACTCTCCTGCTAGTTCAAAGCAAAAAAAGCACTTAAACAATTCATGGTTTATAACAAGGCAGATCACAAAGAATAAAAGAAAATAAATGTTACATAAATCATGTAATCTCTTTCCCAATGCAGTTCATTAACAGCTTCAAAAATAAATCAAATAACATTGCCAAAAAAAAACCCAAAAACAAGCAGAGATAATTAGATTTGTACAGCGAACTTATTGTGCTAGCATTCCAAGACATCTTGAAAAGCACACCAACACATTTCTGGCTAAGTGCATTACTAGAATAATTTTCCTTTGAAAAATGACTTAGTGTGAAAGTATTCCTTCCAGAGCAGCTCCAAACAGTGCTCTATGCTGCATTTTGTCTTTATTCTAAGACCAAATGTTCAGACTAAGTGTCCCGAGTAGATCAGAAGAGCTGAGCATCTCAAGTGGTCAGGCACAGAAGCAGTGGGCAGGCCACATTCCTTTCACAGCAGCCCAGGAAGGCAGAGAGCAGAGATTTTCTGCTCTCACTTATCCTGGAGAAGGGAACTGTGCAGCAAGTGAAAGCTGCTGGACTCAACACTTATAGCACTGGAGATTATGGATCTGTTTAGCGGCTTTTGTACTTTAAAGTCGTAGCAGATTCTTACAAGTTCAGCGAGCTGCGAGGAAGAGAAGCTTAGATATGAGCAGCTATACACTTCAGCAAGTTACTACATCCTGTGCACTATATAATATTTATACATCTTAGTATTTTTTAACTTCTCAGAAAATTTTACCGATTAAATCTTTAGCAATCTTTCTGCACCTTTCCAAACCTTCTTTGATATTTAGCTGTGGAGAACCCTTGTTTTTTATTTTCAGAATAAGCACCAGCATAGTCTATGAAAACTAGTATTCCCAAGAGATGAAGCAGTTTTAAAAATCATGACATCAACACAACTTTGATATGCTGGACAGAGAGTTAGAAGTTATGGCACAGAATCTGGACTTACATGTCAAGCCATGGGTTCAGGAACTTCTCTGCCATTACTTGAAAATCCTTCATGCTTTTGTCTTCCTTGTCTGTGAGGTGAGATGAGGTGACACCACTGCTATTTCACAAGACTGAAGAAATGGTCAAATATTACAAAAATGGGATCTCTGGTGAATATACAGCATTCACAAGTAATATAAAATGGTAAGAAAAAATAGTATGCAAGAAAATGCAAAAGCAAACACTAGAAGAGCTAGACCCAGGCAAGCAGAAACAGATGGAAAATGCTATTCAGAGGCTAAAAAAGGCATCAAAAAGCTCTCCTTGGAGACGGTGCCTATAAACCTAATCACAAGACTTCCTCTGGGGAAAAACTAGCAGATAGGCAAATGAAAACAAAATTAGTTAATCAACTCCAAAAAACCACTAAAAACGTTGGAGCAAGTTAAAGATGCAAAGTTCTCCACTGAAACCTATTAACGGTTCTACAGAGTCTCCAAAAACACAACGCAGATCCAGTCTCTGGAACAAGATATTTTATAGTTCAAGGTGATTAAGAAAACCTTCCTTTGCCATGTATAGTCTCGGAGCATGCAAGAAAATACTGTGCTGGGAATAAAGCACCAGGAGCACCAAATGAAGCCAAGACCTAGCAGATGTGGCAGAGCTGACTCTTGTGTCCTGCTTTCCAGTACTTGGCCTCATGTTGGTTGCCTTTGTACATTGTAAAGTTCTGAGTAACTTGAGTTGCTCAAAATAATTAAAGTTTGTATTTTTCAGACTTTGAGTGCTACAGAATAAAACTGTCCTGAAAGAATGACAAATAATACAAGAATCATTAGTTTCTAAACAGCAGACTGGCAAGAGTTGCCATTGAAGGATTGTGTAATGCCCTGTACTCAGCTGGCTGCAGCCATCTCTGAAAGGAGTCACTAGCTGGATATCCCTCTGTAAGTAGTAATTATTATTCTCCTGGGTTTCAATCTAACCTAAGAGCAGAAAAAACACCATGTGATCTAAGCAGCCAACCAGTTATGGGTAAGAACTACCCATTAAATGATATTTATAGTTATTCATTAATAATCCACAGGCTGCACTTTGTTCTCTAATTATATTGGAAATACTTACAGAATCATGAACAAAACTGTAGAAATCAGAATGATTCATGAAGATGGAAAAATGCTACATGCATCATATAAATCACAATACATAAACTGACTATCATGATTTACAACCCTATATTTAGCAGCTAAAACTATTGCTCTTAACTTGCTTTGCACTTGTTCTCGTGAGAAACAATAGTCTCACACCACTTTTGTGCTTTCTTTAGTTTTACAGACTAAAGCTGAGACAGATTATACAATTTCCTTAAGCAAAACACAGCAGTGGGGCCAAGGATGAACCCAGATGTCTTAATTTTCAATGCAGGAATTAGTCCAGACTTCATTCCTCCATTCAGTTTTGAAGATAGATGTTACAAAAATAATTTGCACTGCTTTAGGTTTATTTTTTGAATTTCAGTGAAATGATCTTTTTTAATTTGGTAAGCAAAATTAATACAATGTAATCCTTGAAATAAATCCTTCCATTGAAATTATGCTTGGAAAAAGGAACCCTATCCTGGTATGTGCACAAGCAAAGAACTCAAATTTCAAAATAGCAAATTTCAGCAAAATAAATTGGACGAGTTCAACCAGTCAAATTTTCTGTTTGTAAGATTAGTTCTGAACCTCTGACTTTCCTCAAACTATGCAAAAGGAACATGTTTTCAAGAACACTCTTGTCTATTACGGGTGTACAAATACTTAAATGTCTTTTAAAAAAAGTTTAGGCAGCTAAGTTGTTGAAGAAGCTGTGCTTCCTCATCTCCAAAAGTGCACAGTGTTCCTAAGAGAGATAGTCAATGACTTTTCCAATTATTAGCTTTTGGGAATGCGGAAATAAAGAGCAAGTCTTATTAGCTACTCACAGAAAACACACCCCCCAAAAAAATTAAAAACCTGAAAATATTACAATATCATGAATACCTTTGAATGTTTAATTTCTGTTCAGTGTATGGGTTACTGGTTACAAAAGCACAGAACATGCACAGGACCACCCCAAAACAGTGCCCACTGTGACAGCACCTGAGGAGGAGGGCGGGAGCAGCTGGGGGACTCAGCACTGTCCTTGCCAGGAGAAGCTCTACAGAAGCAGCCAGGGACAGGCTCCCCGCCCTTCTGCTGCCCTGACTCTGGGCACAGCGGAGCACCCTTCCACCTTGCTGCTAATCCAAACTGAATTCCAGGTCTGCAATGTGAACTCATTCCCCATTTTAAAAGACTTTTTGTGGTTAAAAGAGATATATAACCAGGATGACAATCCACAAGACAGCATGAATTTATGAAGGCAGAATTACCAAGTCAGGGCAAGTAAAACATCTTTTGGAATCGCCTCAGATTCTATTATTTTACCTCAATAACTTTGCCCAGCAATAATAGAGAAAAGAACAACCACAGTGGTTTCTGGGTGGCTAAAGTGGTTATATCCTAGGCATAAAATACCAAACAAAACTATCTTTTAATAAAAAACTTTCCTTCAAATGTAAAACTGATACCTTTTTCTGGTTTATGGATAATTTAGCTTGATTACTATAATTGTCACAAAAATGCTGAAGTATAACTCTCTCCTTCTTTAAACAAAGATTGTCTTACAGGCTTGGGATCAGTCCACTGACTCTTTTGCATCGGTGGAACAATTCAGAGGGTAAAGTTTTAAAGGGACTCATAAATTTGTCTGTCATGATCCCCCAGTCAGTGTAGAAGGAACATGACATTCCCCATGACTGCTTAGGCAAGGCAAACCGAGCAAGAAGCCAATAGCTGCCAAAGGGCTCCTCAGCTGAGGGAGGGAGGCACCCAGTGCTAGACCTGGCTGCAGGTGCAGAGGAGGCCTGTGAGACTTTCTGGAGTTGGAGGGAGTGCAGGATACGATGCTGCCCCAGCCAGGTGGCAGCAGGCTGCCTTCAGCCACACTTGAGCCAAAATGCCTTGAGCCAGCTCGGCTTCACTTCTCCCTTGCTCACCGTCCCCAAGCATGGCTAATACACTTTAATGCAATTTTATCTGCATGGTTGCTTCCAGAGAAAACTATTTCTCAATGTGGTTCCTCAAAAACATATGCAAGATCCTAAGACAGAAAATAGGAGACTTTTCACTGCCACGATGCCAACTTCAATGGCTAAGTGGGTCCAACTAAAACATGGACAGCAGTAACTCCTAAAACTGACAAATGCATTCTCTGCTGAAACTAGATCATCTAATAAACAGACAGACCATACATGCTCAGCCCTAATTTTCCCGATTTAGAGTCCCTTTGTAACTAAAAGCAAACTATTTTTCTCTCTGAAGAAACTGGTTCAAGTTTTATCTTATTGCAACCACCTCCTTGTAAGTAATGAGCTAATGTATCATTTTTAAACTGCTGCTGTAAGTCACTTTCTGAAGGGGATTGTCCCTCTCTGGTTCTTATTCCATACACTGATGACTGAGATAATATCTTTGGGTTTTTATTTTTATTTCTAGCTGGTGCAAGAGTGACCTTCTTGAATCAAGCCAGAATATAGCCACATTGCTACAGGCTGGGGCTCCTTCACTGAGAAGAAGCTATTTGTTCACAGTCCATCACAGGCTTCCCCCAATTTCTCAATACCAAATGAGAGATGTCATCACCTAACTGCTTGGCAAATAGCATTTTTGCTAAATGAAGGCTGGAAAAAAAAATTAATTTGACATTTTTTGTAGCTTTTACCTGCTCAGTTTACTTTATGTGCACATAAGGTCAGAGCCTCAATAGCAAAACTGGAGACTGAGTCAGGAAAAAATAGAGCTGAAAGTGGGGTGTACAGTGTTTTTGATGGAATGTTATTTAAATACCAACTAAAATTAAAGATTGCAAAAACAGGCCTGACAATACACAGTTGAAAAACCACTGAGAAATTAATAATGAAAATCCTGAATAGCCCTGGCCTCTATTTACTTACAGACTCAGAAGCCATTCCTTTCTGCATCACAATGTTCTCTACAAGCTTTCCTTTAGTGTCGTACTTTGCATGATGGCCAGCTCAGAGAGGGACTACAAAAACTTGCTGCAAGCATTTCAAAGCTGAGAAAATTCCTTGGCATTAGTGATATATGCCTTTATAACACATCAGAACTCCTTTGTAGGGGTTTCTGCTGTTTTTGTGTGTGTTTGTTTTCAAAACTCAAGCTCTATTTCAACGGTCAGGTCAAACATGGAATTTCACAGTGTATGTTTTGCATGCTCTCATTCATCTGTTCACTCTAACAGCTTCTCAGTTTCCATCACCCAGAGTAAAATATTTCATCTCCCTGAAAGCTTAAACAGCAATAGAAACATCATTAAAACACCAGCAAACTCTTACTCAGAAACACATTGTTTAAGTGATAGACCACATTTGGCGTTTCTGCTGTATTTCTGTCTATATTATAACTGCTTTGTTCAGAATGCTTTACACATAATAGAATTTTTAAGAATCTCTTCTAGTGAATAATTTGTCCTAATTTGTTTGAAATATGCAATACCTATTAGTTATAGATTACGCTTTTCTTTTTTCTGGCTCTTCAATGTTTAATGTTTCAGTTTTATGAAGCCTGAGATAAAAAAAAAGGTCCAGTCCGAGAAACAAGCAGAATTTACAATCTGTTAAGATTCCATACATAATAATCATATTAAACACAGAAGAAATGAATAGTAATGTAACTTTCATTAAAAAAACAAAACCAGAACAAACAAAAGCAACCACAAAACACGTAAATGATCAAAAGCAAAAACTGTGGTATGAATAAACTGGTGAGATTGTTTTATGTGAAATCTGATAAAGAATTTGTTACAAGGGGCTCTTCAGTTTGGAGTATACACAATTAATACTGGTAGGACTATTTTCCACGTAATGCTTCTAAGGATAAAACAAGCTCCTTTCATAGCTTGTCTGCATGTTGGCAGATGTCTGTTGTTAACAAGGGAGTCTTGCATACTCTATTCTCTCCTGGAGTTTTAATTTTGTTCTTTTATTTCTTTGTCAGCTCCTTTTATCTACAATGAAAGTCATACATCCTGAAAGCAGATTTCTTCCTTGTGCACATGGAATACCTATCTTTAACAATAACATATATATATATACACACACATATGTTTTCTAATTTTAAGAAAAAAATCAAGGGATAATCTTTGGGCAGATATTTACCAGAATTTGGATTTGAATCTTCACTCACTGCTGCAAAATGGTTCTAAGCAACCTTTAATCTACCCGTTCCACACACCCCATTTTATATATGAGACCTTCACATGAAAAGCAGGGCTTAACATTTTGTCAGCTCTCAGGTCTCTGCCCCACCAGTACAGACTGTGCTTGTGGTGTACAAGGGACACCACTCATCTCTGGGGTGCCACCAGAGAGGCTGCCATTTGCACATTACATAACCATTATTTAGTGGTAAAATTAAAGTGCAGGTCAGAGAAGCTTTAAGAGTGGATTTCTATTTTATACGTACATTAGCAAATCTTCAGAGGCTACCTGGCTAATTGAATACCATCATAATTCCCCTGCACTGAGCCTGTGGAATGAACTGCCATTCAAACATAGAATGGAAAAAGAGACTGCAATATGGCAAATTTAATACAAAGACTTTTAACGGCGATTGCCAGAGGAGCTCTCAAAATTAATCACTTTCAGACAGAACAGTGTTGCTAATTCCTATTTAAGTCTGAAATATTTAACATACTGATCTGCTCAGAATGTAGTTCAAAGAGCACACTCCTCCTCTTCAGAGCAACTAGGGACCAAGCTCCTTTAATAGGATTGCAAGAGCCCCAGAGTGGCTCTGCAGAAGCTTAGAAAGATGGTGGGTTAGCCTGCTTACTGGGATATTTACTGCATCATTTTAGTCCAGATTTAATACTTAAAGAAAAACAAGCCAAAAAGAGGGTTCAACAATTGTCCCCTTTTCTGCAGATCAACAGGGACCAGCAGAGACTGGTGTTAGAGCAAGCCAAGAGCCAGGTCTCACCAGTTGCAGTGGGCATGATGCTGGATACTGTAAAGGACAAAGGAAAAGGTGAAATGGGCACTGGGAATAGATAGGTTTGGTTAAACACAGTGTGGAGAGAGGTTCCCAGCCCACTTCCAAAGGAGCTGCCTTGGGAACCCCCAGCAATGCAGTTATGCAGATGGAACTCTTGGTCAGAGTGGTGAGACTGAGCAGACAGAATAAATCATTCACAGGTGACCAGAGAACAGTGCTCAGATAATCTATTAATTTTTCTTCAGAAAAGGAATCAGCAGTTCTTCTCTCCAGCATTAACCAACATGAGCTGATAGAGAGAAACCAGCTCTGGAAAAAGTTTAACCTCCATGGGAGAATTTCATTACTTTCAGTTTACCAGGACACAGAAAATGTAAAAAAAGTCAAGCATTCAATTGTATTCAATGCAAATAAAAATACTTGCTGTGTTGTACTAGAGTTCAGCTTAATGACAATTTACATTTGCCAGTGATCCTCTAGATGCAAAACAGTTGTGATTTTAGTAGATTTGAGCTAAGAACCTGCAATTGCAATGAGACCAAGTGGCCAGATGACAGAGAGCCTGCATGTCTAACTTAGGAGGCTGCTTACCCAGTAATAATAAGAAAGTCATCAGTATTATCACAATGGCACCACTTCCAAGTCTCACTCCTGCTCGCAGAACTGGTGAATATTTCCATGCGTGTCCATCTGCACAAAAGCAGAGCCTGATGTGCTGGTTCTGCCTTGTGGAAAATACTTGCCTGTCCTGAATAATGATGAGCACCAAGTAGCTGCCTTGTGGGAGGCTTCTTAACATCAAAAGTTCAACTGACTGCCCTAAAAAGACAAGTGAATCATTTCAAGTCTCACAGAAAGAAGTCAAATATTCTACAGTCCCTTGTGTTGATAAAAGAAACTCATTTGCACTCCAATTTCAAATAGTTTTTTCAGCCTTAATGCACCATAGTAAATAGGACTAAATTACATCCCACCTTATTGCCTCAGTGAGCCTTCAGGGCAGAGATCTGTCCCAGCCTGGCTGCACTCTGGCACAGTTCCCTGATAACCTCTGGAATTCCTTAGGTAGTTAATCAAGTGAAGAAGTGGTTCCACAACTGTCTTATCCCCCTTTCTTCAGTTTGAGCACATTGCTGCTGATCCTGTCCTCAGCAGAGATGAAGAGCAATGTCACTTTTCATAAACTGGCATAAATTCATATTTTGATGGCTCTTCTTTCCCATCATTTCAGTCTCACTGGGATTCATCAGTAACAAACCATGAAGGGAAGAGAGTAAAACAACCAGAGGGCCCACAACTGACAATAAACACAGGAAGGAGACATAAGGAAGTGCTCACCAAAGTTCCTTCCTAATGTCCAGTTACATTTCACATCTTCAGAGTCCTCAGCCAGCTCAAATGTAAATGGCCCTGAATGTGAGTGGGCCAGAGCAGACTTGGCTTCTATAATGAGAAGTGTCCCTTCTGTTTGGTCATATGCATCTAAAGCAGGAGCCACCAATGATGGTGTATGATCATTAATGTCAGACAAGTGAAGCAGGATGGTGCCAGTACCAGACTGTGAGGGCTTGCCAGGGTAGGAACAAAATAAGCACAAAAACACTAACAACTGGGTATTGACAAATGCTAGTCCAGTGGCAGGATCTGTCTGGTTTATCCTACCAGTCACACATAGTACAAGGTATAAACATTAGGGTGTTTTATTAGCCATTAACTTCTTAGACTTGCTATCTTTTTATGTTCAACATGTACCCCATTTCACAGTCCAGACTGCCTGAATATTCTCTGACTGGCTGCTTACCATGATTTGTAGCATGAACAATAATGGTATACATGTTGTTGTGCAAGAAGGGGGATTCTTGATTCTTTTGCCACAGTAATAATAACTGAGCTCTCATCCACACTCAGCCAACCATCTGGGTCATTAACTAGTTCATATCTGAAAAAGAAAGGGAAAAATTGCAAGTTATTATTTTAAATGCATTTTGGGTACCAAACTACACTTGCAAACCTCTTTATATTCCTAAGCTATTTCTTAAGAGTTAGAACATTGCCACTTTATCTTATTTGGCCCATCATCTGGATATGTGGAGGTATGCTCTGACTGTAAAATTGTTGTGTGGCATGTCACAAAGGAGCTGTGTAAAACTTACTATAAATATTAAAGAAATAGCAAAACAAAAGCATTTTTCATCAATAGAAAGTAGAAAAAAATCACTCTCCCTCCCTTTATTTTCCTTTGGATTAGCCCCAGCTGAACGCATGAACATGCTGTGTGTGAAATTAAGTAATACCCATTCCGTACTGCAGAAAAAATACAGTCGGGGTTTTTCCTCTTACCGACTGACTCCATTCCGTACTCCGAGATAATCCAGTCCGGCTTAATGATACCCATTGGAGCTGAGCTGTCAGTGTGCTTCCACAACATTTTCAAGTCTTAAAATATTATTTTTAAACTATAGTGTTAGTGCATTGACAGAGCTTATATGTAGCAGATATGGACTTGAAATGGTTCCATTTACTTTGGCTTCATTCTGAAGCTGAATAGGATTAAAATGACATCTAAACTCAAGTGGATCTCAGCTATGCCACAAATCTCACTATTCTTCCTCTTGTGGAAGAGGATTTATGGACTTTTAGGTGACTTATAAATGCCTTGAGAGTGTAATGGCAATGTATACTGTGCACACCATCATACATAGGGTACCCTGGGACATACACTGTGGCTACAGTACAGTGGGGCACATGGTGCATGGTTTGTAGGGCCCTTGGAAGGAAGAAATCTGGGAGACAGCTGTCTGCCATTTCAGGGAACTAAATCAGGAACATATGTTTCTCAGTTTTCATATTTTCTTTCAAATAACACCCTCAAATATTTACACACAAACATACATAAACACATGCACACAACAAAGCCTCCAAATACACTGGTGAATGATTCACTCACTCCTCAGTACTGTATGTCTTCTGGCATACAAAATTCCAGCTGCATAAAACAGTTTAGCAGAAGAATATATTGAAAATCAGCTTCAAAGAACACAGAAGTTAGTGTGAGTTGAGGGAACTAAATTACACAGATTCATCTTGTTGCTGTACTGTAGATTAGTTTTCATTATAGGAATCCTGCAGGCTATTGAGTGTAAGGCTGTCGTGGAATAAGACATTGTATCCTCACCTTCTCCATCTGTATTTGATGTCCATTTTTAAAGTAGCTACAAATGGAAACTGTATATATATCCACACAACATTTTTTATTTTGCTAAGATGATGATGAAGGTATATAGTAATTTTTTTCCCTTCAGTCATACCACTGGTCTATCAGAAGAAAATGCAAATGGGATTAATCCTAGTTCTACCCAAAGATTAATTTCTAAACATTATCTCCTGCTCCAGACATCCACTGTAGCCACCAGGCAACATGAGATCCACTTGTCTCCTCTGAGCAAGTATGACAAAACTGCTAGGGACTCTGCTAGCTCTGCTTCCAGTTTATTGACTGACCATGTGCAGGTCACCTTTTCTGCATCCCACTTACTGCAGCTGCAAGAACTGTGTTAATGAAATCCACCTCTGTATGGTACTTGAACTGAAACCTAAAGCTGAACTCCCAATTGAAAACTACATAACACTTGCTTTCATGAAGAGCACCCCCACTGCCAGAAAAAAAATTAATACCATTATTGCATTCACTTCTCCTGCAATGTTTCAGTAAAGTATACATATCTTTCATACTTCAAAATACCTGCTGGCCAGCTTCAGGGAGGACATTTTAAACAGGACTAAATTACTTCCTTCTTATTACTTTATGCTAATGCTTTTATCATCATGTGCTAATCAACAGGAAAATATATTTCCTGTTCTGGAGGATGTTAATAAAAAAAGTACTGATCTTATAAAACTATTCTTTTAATTATGTACTTGAAAAACTGCTTAGATACATGAAAATTAAATAGATCTAATGAAGTGGAATGGAGTGCTAAGTTTAATTAAACAAATTAAAAAATTTGCAGAAATGATATTAAGTGATCTTTGAAATGGAAATGGTGTACTGAGTTCTACACTTCATGTTAAGATTACAGCTGAGTGAGCAAAATACTCCCAAATGCACCCTGGCAAATTCTGCAGGGCAAACCAAGTACACCTCTACACATAAAATTTCCTACAAATATTTGCTCAGATGAAAAAATTGTCTGCACTTCTAACAAACATTGAGAAAAAAAAACAAAACAAAGATTTTTTCAACACCCTTTTTTCTACAAATGGTGATTTTTACTGAATCTTTGAGAGAATAACTTTAAAAATAATCAACCTCAGCACTCATATAAAACCTGAGTACTAGTGCTCTACTTGCCGAGGTACCCCTCTGCAAAGCACCACGCAGGTGCTGTCCAGCACTGCCCCAACGCCTTCCCTCACGGTATTTCCCCTGAAACATCTGCAACCAGGAAAATTTGCAGAAATTGTCTGGTTATTCTGAACACGCATACTCAGAAAATTCAACAACTTCTGCAAAACAGGTGTGAGGCTAGAAATGAGAAAATTTCTGAAGGTATTGTTTTGCAGCATTTCTGCTTATTTCTCCCAGTCCTACCTCACAATCTGAGGGTTTCCACAGAGCCCCCCTGAAGGCTGTTAGGCAGTGACTTGCTCAGCACCACATGGGTACAAGTAAGCCTTCTGCAGTGTAGCCCTGTTAGTTTACAGCAACTTTCAGAGTATTTGGCTTTTCTTCTCAAACCCTCAATTAAACACAAGAAAGCTACACCTCATAAAAAAGTTCTCTACCCACCATATTTGCTGCCGGTACAGATGATGAGCACCTTCATGCGAAGAAACGCCCTCACCACAGCACCAGCTCTTCAGGAAGGCCCATTCGCAGCCCTCCTGGCTCTCAGAGAAGGTTGTTCCCCCCTTCCCTGAGCCTGTGGGGTGCCACTGATGAGCCCCAGCCAGCAGGATGCTCTCCTAGAGCTGCACACCCCAACCTGGGCAGTGTTGGACACAGGCCCTGGGCCCGGCCGCCCGTCAGCCGCCAGCAGGGCACAGGCTGCTGGAAAGGCCTCAGCTCTCTGCTGCAACAGCCACATTTGGGCTCTTTTAAAGCCGTGGTTTGAGGATGTGAAACACATGCTGGACTGTCAGCCAAGCTCTACGTTGCACTTAAATCGACAGGACTCACGATTGCCCAGTCACTGCTGAGGATGTTGAGGGCCCGAGGACGGAGCGGCCGCTTTGGCACCTTCCTGCACTCGTGGCCAAAAGCTGCGTGGTCCTTCCAAGGGCTTGTCTGCAAACTCCAGCTGTACCCAAACACACACAGCCCTGCTGGAGCCCCAGGCCAAAAGGGTGACACCACTGAGGAGTGGCCTAAGGTGAGGTGAAATTTGGCCCAATACATTGACAGTCCTGATGCAATTCCATACGCAAATGGGTGCCTTTTGCTCACTGCAAGGAGGTCAGCAATGAGCACCGGATAAAATGGGAGAGAGGACAAGGATGTCTCATAGAATTGGGGCACACTGTGCCTCCAGCCCGGGGGTGGGACAAACAGGTCTGATTTTAAGCTAAGGCAGCACTAGAGGGACCATGTGCTACCCACACTGCTCTGAAATTCTGAAATTCCAGCATAGGCAACCTCATTCTAGATGAAAAAAAACGCCACCCACCCACCTCAAACCAAAACAAGGCACAAAAATCTCTTTAAGGAGTCTGGTAGTGACTTTTAGCTTTGAGAACAAAAGAGTCATCGCTCTCCACAACTACCTGAAATGAGGTTTTAGACAGGTGGCGGGGGGGGTCAGTCTCCTCTCAGGTAAGAAGCAACAGGATAAGAGGGAATTGCCTCGAATTGCACCAGGGGAGCTTTAGATTGGGTATTACAAAGAATTTATTCACCAAAAGGATTGTCAAGCATTGGTACAGGCTGCCCAGGGAAGTGGTGGAGTGACCAACCCTGGAGGGATTCAAAAGATGAGTGGTTGTTGTCCTTAGGGACAGTGCTGAGTTAATTGCCATGTTTGATGATCTTAAAGGTCTTTCCCAACCAATTCTATGATCATTTCCTCTCACTCACACTCTCAATTGCAACTTGTTTAGAAAATGACGGAAAAAAAAAAGGCACCTTACACTAAGCATAATGCCTGAAAATCTTTCAAGAAGACAAAATACACATTTGTCTGTCTTCATAATGAGTTCAGCTCAGAAGTCACAGAAAGGTCATATCACAAAGGGAGTGGCTCCTGAGGCGCAGGGAAGCCTTTATTACTTTAACTAACCTCCTTGAGGGCAATTTCACATCCATAATACAAACTATTCAAACAATGTGCAATGAAAGTAGGTAAATAATCACCTTGTATGTGCTCAGATTTTATTTTGCTCTGTTTAAAATTTGGCAGAGGTAATTATTCAATCCAATATTTTCAATGTTCTCAGCTATATCTGAAAGATTTTTTTTTTGTCACTACAACTGAATGGCACAGTAATTAATAATAATCCTAATGATCAGAGGTTTTGAAATGAATTTTTTATTGAATAAGCAGAATTAAATTTCTATATTGTCCTCTTGCATCTGAAAGAAATGCTTGCATGTCTCTTTAAAGTCTTATATTTAAATAGATAAAGTTTGAGTGGAGTGTGGCTGTGTTTTAGATATATTGTACAGAAATAGGAATGATTTTGTAGTATATGGTATATATTATAAATGTACAGAATTTCTAAAAAGGTGTACCACCTTCTTCCTGTTACTAGGAAATCTTATTATTAAGTTTTTGCATTTGATAAAATCACCTAAAATGGACTTTTTTCCCCTATAGATGCAAGAGAGGACAAAGCAAACTCCACCTTTTATTGACTTTTCACAGGGCTATGTGCCTTCCTTTTTCCCTTCCCTTTTTTGTACCTTTTGTTTTACAAGAATAGTATCACCTGATTTGCATGCAACCTTCCCCCAGTCGTGACATAACATAGTCAAAATTAAGAAATTATCATATTCAATGCTTTTGTCCCAGGTGTTGCCAGGTTAAACACATACAGAGACCAAGTAAGAAAATACTTCCTGTGTATACAATCCATCCCATCCAGGAACTATAAACCCTTCTGAAAAACAGTTTAGTAATTTTACATCTAATTGGATGAGAGCAAAACAGAAGAAAACAAATTACCTCCAGGATTAAAAAATACTTAGATGAATATAAATAGCTAATCCTGCTCTCACCCTATGTACAACAGAAGGAAAGACCCCCTGAATTTCAATTTTAGCATGGGACAAGAGTCCACTTGTCCAGGTACCTCTGAAATTCAGCATTCAGGGTGTGTTTTTGTGCTACATGAGACCATTCCAGGTGTAATGGCCTACAAAGATGCTCTTTGTAGGTTGTGTTAAAAGAAAAACCGATGATTTTTGCCTATTTTGTGCTCTAAACCAGCCAGCACTTAGTGAAAGAACCTGCCTGCCAAACAAAGAGAGAGATTCTGGGGAAAAAGCCCAGCAAAACAATCACCACACCAAAACATCACGGGGAGGGAAGGGGAGAAAATAGCCTAAATTAATCAGAGGTTACTATCATTAATCAAGGCAAGGATGCTTGAGCTAACAGCACTGTGTTAGAAGAAACTAATAGAAAATGGTGAAGAAAAAAAATTAATTTTTATGAATTACTAAGGAAGAAGAAATCTCTGGGACAAAATCTGATAGCACTGGCTTTTTTTACCATCACAGAACAATTCCATAAAAACACAGAGCTCGTCTGACACCAGGACAGAAGAAGGTTCTACTCAGTTAAACACGTGTCCAGGAAAAGCAAATTCTGAGACTCCATCCAGACACTTTTATCATTATGTTTCAAATTTTGACCATTTCAGCCTAGCGTTTCTATTTCATTCTTTCTTAGAGCAAAACCAGCTACGTGTTTACTTCATCATCACAAAATGAATGAGATCTCACAGGGCTCCAAAAGACAGGGCTTTAACTACAAAACCCCCAATACAAGAATATCACTAGGCCTGCAATAAAATTAAAAGGCTTGACATCACTGCTGTGCCACCTTTACAGTTTTGAATGGCTCTGAAGAGATTTTCTTAGAAAGATCAAATAGAAAATAAGGTCTAAGGAGTTGGTCAGTATTCTTTAGAGCCTGCCCAAGCCTTATTGCAGCTCTGCTTTTGAAGTCACTAACCTGAGTGCTTACCCCACTCAAGTGCAGCACAGATTTATAATATGTTTTTATTTAAGGAGAAGAAATAGCCTACACTACCAGGAGTGAGATGATATATATCCTGTCTGTTCTGAATGAACTGCTGTAGCAGACATTAAAAAGGAAGGGTGAGTTTTAAGAATATAGCTTTAGAAAAAAGATTTCACCAGTTAAACCTATTTCATCCTCACTTATATCTTATTTTTAAGAAGGGAAGACAGAATGAATTAAATTGAAAGCCATGTATTAAGTCTTTAGAATTTTCACAGAAGTTTATTGAACAAAACTCCTAAGAAGCTGCTTGCTTTTTTGTCCACAGAAATGTATTTATAGGAGCTGAATTCTAATAAACACAGATTGCAGTGCAAAGAAAAAAAGGTCAGCAGTGTGTGCTCAAAGCTTTATTGATGTCTTGTCAATCAATCTTTTATTTTGTTGTTTAATTCTTTTTTTAAAGAAAAAAATGCATGTAAGCACTTTTTCTCCTAATAGTGGATTTATTGAGCATTTCAACAAATCAGATGATAGATACAATAAGCAATGATGGCCGATTATCAACTTTGTGTTTTCAGGTCAGGTTGTAAATTGACCTTGTGTTCGCTTCTCTTCTTTCTGGGGAATAGCTAATGCCCTCCTCAAATACAATAATTTCCAATAAACTTTTTTTCTGTTCGTTCAACATTTCAGAAGAGCAAGTTTATGGGGGAAAAAAGCAATCCTGCTAGACAAATCCATGCAGTCTCATATATTGCCTCCTTGTAAACTAATTAAAATAATAAAGCTGACTCTTAAATCTAAGAGTGGTGAATCCACTCTTAAATCTAAGAGTGGTGAAGGGATGTAAAACTTTAGAGCATGACCTTTAAAAATCATCATTGGTGTGAGCTTTTTAGAGCCCAGTAACAGACTTCAGCCCTGATCCTGCACACCAGTGGAAGAGCTGCAGCCCTTCTGACTCTGGTTATGTGGTCAGCCCTTCTCACCAAGGCAAACCAGCTAACCTTTCCCATCTGACCACAGTCCTTCCTCAAAATTTGATTTCCTAAACTTTTTCAACATCCCTTTCAGTCATGTAGTTTGAGAGCCAGAGATCAGCAACTGCACTTAGGGATTCAGACAGGCCTGCCCATGGCAGTACCATGTTATTTGTCACCTATTCATCTTGCAGCTTCACCATGCTCTTCCATTTTTTATCTGCAGGCTCATATGAGGAGAAGTTGACACTGAGGTGTCTATTGTGACAGAGGATTCCTTTGCCTCAGCTGACACAGTTAATTTAATAGAGTGCAAAGGACACTGACATCATATTTTTCCCTTCCAATATATATTACTTTGCATTCACTTGCTATCACATTGTCCATGCACTTCTTTTATTAGGTCTGTTGTTCTTTTAAGTAGTTCCTTCCCAACATAAAAAATAAGAACATGTAAACAGAAGAAAGCACGGGCATTTGCAGAGACCCTTGCAAGCTCAGAGAGGATGGAAACCACATTTTCCTCTATGGGAAACATCTACCCTACGAAATCCTTCACAAATTATGTAACACACCTGCAACTCCATTGATCTCTCTACCCATCTTTTCCATAATTCAGTGTACTGGCACAGTCTGAGAAGCAACCTTGATATTTCAGCTGATAACTTTCTGCTGTATGGCAGCAGCATGAGCAGGCATGAAAAGGGGATCCATGCTCTGTATTTTGATGGTAAAAGTGTCAATTTTTACTACTTAAAGTTTAGAATGCAATGGAAGTGCCACCAGAAGTGTGTTCCAGAGTGGTTAACTGTGGCAATTAAATCACTGCTGAAGGCATTAAATCACTTCCGTGAATGAAAATGAAGTCATAGAAATGCTCTTTGATTGTTGTCACAGAAGTTATGAAGTTATGTTCTAAAGGGAGAAGTGCCTTCACTCTTAGCAGTGTGTATTGGTAGACTGAATGACACTGCATTTTGGAGCTACTGTCCAGTTTGACCCCACATACAACCAAACATTGCGTTAGAAACATTTATCTTTTCTTAGTGCCTGACTGCACCATGACATTTTACAGGGGCCAACATGCGAAACTGAAATCCTCTTGCAGGTGGCACTACACTCTGACAAGGACAGTGTAAATGAGTTTTCCTTTATTTTGTGAGAGCTGTGCCTCACTAATATCAGCTAACAAGAGTTAGCCACATAATATTTTCTGAGGGGTCAAAATCAAACTGATTGCCATCTCTTGCAAGCATCTTACAATCAGCTTTTAATTTCTATAAATGTGTTCAGAATTTACAGTTATTATCTGACCAACTGAAATTAGACTAAAAGTATTCCTGGAAAGAATTGTTTTATATTTCATTTTCACATTCTGCCTTTAATAGCATTTGATTAGCTACTGAATACTTTCAGCTGTCTGACCAGATACATTATTGTTACATTTTAAACATAAGTAGAATAGAACAATAAATAATGTAAATGTATGTCACATTCATACTTTTATTAAACTTTCACAACATTTTGATGTATACCAGTGGCCACATAAAAATTCACAACATGAGATAAACAGACCCTACAATGAGCAATAAATCAAATTTGAGTCTCCCTTCAAAAAAAACAAAACAAAAAAACCACACTTCAGGAATCTGTTTTTTATTATTTGGACAGCTCTGACTCTGTCTCTCATCATGGAACAAAAATCTCTGTCCAAGAGTCCCTTTGGGACAGATCTTGGTGTTTTTCTTCTTTAGATGGTTCAGTTGAAAAAAAAATAAAAAAAAAAATAAAAAGAAGAAGAAAAAAGGTGTATCTTACCTTAACAAGATGTACAAGAAAATATCTTTGGAATCATAAACTGGGACTAGAACTAGAACTATTCCAGTGCATCTCGGCATGATTCATCTCTCAGATGAAGAGGAGTATTTCCTTCACAAGCCAGGATAAAAGTCTTCCTCAAGGAACCACTGCCCCTCTTTGCTTTCTTTGTTTCTACTACTTTAGGAAGAATTAAATTACTAGAATAAAGAGATACATTTACAGTATCCCTTTAGAATGGTAAGACTTTCATTTTGGGAAGCAGCTTAATCAGGAAGATATCTGGACTGGGAAAGAGTCTGCAACTTTGGAGTTCTGGGTTGTCACTTAAAACTCAGACATAAACTTCAACCCTCCACTGCTCACAGAGTGGGATTACACTTATTTTACAACATTGATGGGAAGGCACAAGTTGTTTTCTTCATTCCAGACCCTTGTTACAGAATTTACCTTTTTGTTTTACAAAGCATAAAACCAAATATCATTATATGCTTCTATAGTAAACAGATTCAAGCCTTCCTCTAAATAAGTAAAAATGACATTGACCCAGAATGAAAACAGCAGCTTTGAGATCAACAGTGGTCCTCCACTTTACACCAAACCCTGACTGCACAGAAATCAGTGTCAAAAGTCCAAGTTTTCAATCCTGCTGCATTTAGTTTAACAGTATGAATGAAATGTACAAAGACTCGCTCCAGAAATTTTACAGAAGGAAGTTTTTCCTTTCTTCCATTCATTTTCAGAAAAAGAATCAGAGAGAACAGATGAGATGGGAACAGACCTCTGGAGAACATCTGGTGCCAACGCTGTTCAAGCAGAGACAGATGGAGAAGGGTTCCCAGGACCAGGTCCAGTTGAGATTTCAATGTCTCCAAGGATGGAGACTGCACAAAGCTCCCTAGAGAATCTGTTCCTATGAACAACCATCCTTAGGGGGTAAAAGTGTTTTGGTTTGAGTTTACTTTAGTTTAAATAGAATTTCTTCTATTTAAATTTGTGCCCACAGCCTCTTGTTCTGTCAGCGAGCAGCACTGGCAAGAGCCTGGCCCCATTTTCTTTACTATACCTTTAGTATTTGAATGTATTGAGAAGGTTCCCCTGAGCTGTCTCTTCTCCAGGCTGAACCACCTCTGCCACCCTTCCTAAAAAAGCTACCACTTAATCACCTCTGTGGCCCTTTGCTGAACTCAGACCACTATGCCCATGTCAGCCGTAAACTGCGGAGCCCAGAAAAAGCTCTGAAGACTTTCACATTCCATATAAGAAAAAACACCTGGAAAATGAAGATATGAAAATAATTTTAAGGGAACTAACAAAATATTTCATCATTATTCTTGTGTGTTTTATATAGACTTTCTGATGGAAATGATGCTGTGTAACTGAGAAATTACATGAAGGCAGAGATTCCTTGCCTATGATAAAATATTTACTTGCCTCTGCCAATACAGTCATTACTATATTTATCCTTCCAGCATCTCTTTGAGGTAAGGAATACTAGATTTTTCACATGGAAAACAGAAGGACAGTGACCAACTTAATATCACACAGAAAGTTTGTGAAAGACAAGGAATGTGTGAGCATGAGGCTAAAGGCTTTATAGCAGAAGTGTGACATATAAAGTAAATTACTTAAACTATTAATGAAGAAAAATTAGAATGCTTCAGGATTTTAGGAAAGGATGTCCTAGGGTGTTTGTTCTGTTTTCCCTGCATTTCACATAGCTTCCATGAAAGCATACAGAACTTTTCTTCCCCTGTGTTTTCTTTAAGGCCCTGGCTGGATTTAAAGTGGAAAAAAAAATTAAAATCTATTCAAGAACTATTATTTTCTTCTATGTTTTCAGTTAGTTTAGGTACTTTCCTGTCTGTCTCCAACTATTATACCCTGGACAGAAAGTATAAGCCCTCAGCTTTTATTTTGCCATGTTAGAACACATAAAATCTTTTTGCTTCTTCCCATAAAACAGGCTTTTCCATTGCCTTAATAATCCTTATGACCCTTCTCTACATGTGTTCCAGTTTTACTGAACATTCTTGTCCATGGCTGACCAACACTACACAATATGTCTGAGGTTGTACCACAGCCTCTGTAATATCACCAGCACTTCCTCTCAAAATTCCACTCCTAGTGCATCTTAAGGTTGCATTGCCTTTTTCACTACTGCATAATTGCTTAAAACAATTCTCTGTACAACTCATGGTATACAGCAAGAGAAGTATGGAATCACTATAATTGAAATATGGTTGGGTTTTGAGGAATTTCTTTGAAGGTGGGAGCAGTGGACACATTTCATAGATTACCCAAGAAGCCTTTTTAACTGAGAAGCATATGGAGATGTGAGAGAAAAGAAGAGATGGAAAGAGGGAATTGGTGGGTGTTATATACAAATGGAGCAGGAAGATGAGAGCACAGGAGTAATGATTTCTTATGTGCAATAGCAGCAGGATATAGGCTCTCTTTCCTGTTTGGAAGTTCTCTGCACAGCTCTACACAGAGGCTTGACTGACTTTCCTAATTTCTAAATGAAAGGGGATGGTTTGGAGAGTCCTTTTTTAGAGAGCCTACTCTGGGAAAATGATAGATATTGAAAAAGCTAAAACTTGAAGTCTCCCTGTTTGAGTGAGCTTTATACAGCAACAAGGGTCTGAACGAACCCTCTTCACACCTTTGGCTCAATATTCAGAAACAACTATACAGCTCATAAAACCAGGCCTTCACGTTGCCACCAGGACTATGTCAGTGTTGCAAAATAAATAGAAAAAAATCACACAATTTTCTTGCTTTAGTGTCTCATAAAAATTAAGATAGCACCATCTAATGTATTTATTTAGTGTAAAAGGAAGCTTTTCATACAGCTGCCACAGTCACAGAACTTATAAAGAGCTAGAATCTGAATTCTTTGGGAAATTCCTTTTCTTGTATCTAAATAAAGACACAGAATTTCCTGTGTTAAAACAAATTAACTTCCTATAATTATGCACTTTCCTCTGAATGTGAAATTAATGAAAAACTTTTGCAATATTAAAATACAAAGAATATTTTATATTGTATATGCATTAAATATACATCAGTAAATACAGACTTATGTATTCAATATTCTTGAAGCAAAATTAAAAAGCTGACAATTCATTTTGACTTCTTTATATAAATAAAGATTTCAGCAGCATTGGCATGTTTCTATGAAACATCTTGCAGCTTAACTTTTTGGTTTTCAAGTAAAAAATGTTCTATTGAATTTTTTTTATGCCCTAATGAATGTCAACTGGCTTCTTCATAGGAAAAACCTTGAAATCCTTAGTCAGTCAAAACCCTCATTGATTGCATTCTCTGATGTTAAAAATTATTCATTGATAGTATATTCCCAGAAAGGCAGAGAATGTTGAAACATGAACAAGTATGTACTGATTAATCACACATCATTTTCACAGTGTGTCTTTTTCTTACACAGACTATTTTCTGAAGAGTCACTGCTGATGAAGGGCACAAGTCATCTGGCAAGGACTTCAATCATCTTGCTCTGTAGCGCTTCCAGGTCAAGGAGAGACAAGGCCATGTAAATGTAAGTGATTCTTAATGAGTTCTTTACCCATAGCTTTATTAAGGCACAAATAACCATAAAATGACTCATTCTATTGATTTTGAATCCAGCATAAGACTTATTTCTAAACCCTGAAGAACAGTGGTTGGGAGAAAGAACATCTTCAACCAGGGCAGTAATTATTGCCAGAGTAAGTTGCCTTCAAGAGTCATTGTCAAGTAATCAGTAAACACATAAGAATAATTGCCCGTGACTTGGGAATGCTCCTGCCTGAACCATGACAGGAGGGAGGACACCCACACTATCCTTCCTTCTGCCCAAAAACTCCAACTGCATTTCACTTGAACCGTGGGAATGCAATTCACCCAGTGCCAGTGTATCATTCTCCAGCAAAACTGCAGTCACCAGGTCAGAAATTGCTCCTGTAGGTCAGGTAAGTGGCTGCCTGTCTAGTCTCTAAGTGGTGCTACCGCTGCCTGTTTGAGAGAGGTGGAAAAGCCCATGCATTATGCATCTGTGGAAAGACTTGCATATGAAGAAAATATTTTTACACACCTCACCAGTTAGAAGCTGCCCTTGCTACACAGATAGAGTCTTACTTGACTTCTAAACTCCAGGTAATACTTTACTACCTTATCTCTTTTTACATACACCTGTTTATGGCTGGATGGGTATTTCATAATTTGCTGTGAAGTCAGTCCTCCCTTAAGAATCCCTAAGCCAAGATCATTCATCAAGTAAAAATCAACAATTGTAATGCAGAATTGGTTGGGTTCTGGCAGTAATACATGGTCTTTTGAATAAATATACACATATGACCTCAGTATGGTCATTATTTCTGAGCTCTCTTTACTGACTTACTTAATATCTGATTCTGTTTTACTCTAAGTCTCTTGCTTTATGAAAAATCTTGTGATGAGTTTTATAAACTATGTGATTTCTGAACATTTCCTAAAAAACATAAATCAATATACTTTTCCTTCTGATTTCATACTGCATCACCTAAACTTCCTAACATAGTTTTGTCCTTTGATTCTTCTTCTGTCTAAAAATACCTATAGTGCAATTAAAGAAATTTACAGAAATGATGCAAAACATATATATACAGCTAATGGGCTTATAAAATACTTACATCTGTGATCTCTTCTTTGCAGTACATGCATAATACATATAATACCAAAAGTTGCTATTCATGCTGCTGCATTTTTTCCCCCTCAAAATGCATTCTAATTACTACAACAAAATTGAATTTGCCTGTGCATACATTAAGGTTAACCATGCAGTCAGCAAGAAATGAAGCACTAAGAATCAGCTGTGTAACCAAGAAGGAAATACATATTTAAAATCATGCACACTATTATAACTTGGTTCATTTCTACTTTAAGACTGAGTAACTCTAAAAATATTAAGCTGCTTTCCATGCTTAATTAGGAGCTCAGATTCACTGAAAACCTCCTGAAGTGCCATAGTCAATGGCAGTAAAGTATCTATTTAAATTGTTTTCTGGGATATCACAGTGTCTGTGAGAGAAAAGTGTTATTACTTGAAAACTTTATGGCATGCAGCAGGAAGTTATTGTATTCTAGTATTACAATTTTGTTAATAGACAAATTGTCAAAACCACCACCAAAAAAAGCAACTCGGAAGCAGTTTACATGGTAGCATAAAAATTGATGAATGTGGCAGAAACACTATTTAGATGAAAAAAAGGCATTAAACATGAAAGAAAAAAATTTAAATTAAGAAAGTCCTGGAATTGGAAAGCAACTGCATCAATTTTGACTACATAATTCAAATATTTTCTCATCAATGTAACTAATTTGGATTTTAATTCTCATGAAAACCTGCTACAAAAAGGAAAGAAAATTCTTGTCAATGTGTGAATAGTCAATGGTGAAAAGAACAACCATCAAAAAAAAAAGTGGCAGTTGCAGCTGAGGAAGAGACAAAATAACAGAAAAGTCAGAGTAAATGTATGGGAGGAACTGTTATTAAAATTTCTATAGAAAGACAGAATGGCTTAGTTTGCAGCATGTTAAGGACCATGCAGTTCCATCTCCTCTTCCATGGGCCAGGATACCTTCAGCTAGGCTGGGCTGCAGAGCCCCATCCAAACTTGAACTATTCCAGGATGGAGCATCCACAGCTTCTCTGGGTAACATTTTCCAAGGCCTCACCACCCTCACAGTAACAAATTTCTTCCTAATATCCAGCCTAGATCTGCCCTCTGTCAGAGTGGAGCAGCTTTCCCTTTCCCCATCACCCCCTGCCCTGGGGAAAACTCCTTCTCCAGCTCCCTTGGAGCCCTGTTAGGGACTGGAACACTGCTCCAGGGTCAGCTAGGGGCTTTCTCTTCTCCAGGCTGAACAACCCCAGCTCTCCCAGCCTGTCTCCACAGCAGAGCTCCAGTACTTTGTGGCCTCCTCTGGACTGGTTCCAGCAAATCCCTGTCTTTCTCATGCTGGGAGCCCCAGAGCTGGAGGCAGCACTGCAGGTGGGGTCTCAGGAGAGCCAAGCAGAGGGGCAGAATCCCCTCCCTTGACCTGCTGGGAATGTGACCCAGGATACAGATGAGCTCTCTGGGTTGCCAGTTTACATTGCCAGGTCACGTTGGGTTTCTTGTCAATCAAGTAGCTAAGATTGTTATCAGTATTTCCCTTCAAACCTCCATTTTTAAAGAATTTATATTACTTGACTCTTAAAATATGTTTCTGGGCAGAAACAAGGGCGCACTGTGCTCAGGCAAATTTTTAAATTAAAAACGGCCTCCAAAATTACTCCAGCAATTTTCTGCACACAATTGTTTCCATGTGAAAAGATCCACATTTAGCCATGAAAACAGCACACTCCAAAAAAAAAATAAAATTATCAACTCAGCATTCAATCTTAAGTAGTACTATGGCCCTCAGTTATTATTACTGTGAATACACACACTAATACCCAAACTCCAAATAAGAATAATGGCAGAAAGTAAGATTTGATAGATTTTTTCCTGCATTTGCATATGATTATATAACAAGTTTGAAACTGCAGGGTTTGCAGTAAATTTGAAATCAACCAAGAGATTATTTAATAGAATCTCAAAACTGTAATAATTTTCTTTCCTAACATACCGTTGTGTCCCTTGGCAAACACACCGAAAGAAGCAGCAAAATGATGAGGCTTTAGGTTTTTAATATATTTTTTCAAATATTCATTTTTACTCCCTAAGTGAATAATGTGATCTAATTTTTATCAGCTGGCACTATATCTCTAAATTCATTGTTTTCCCTTTACATTTCCAACAATTCTACCTTTTTAACCTGTTCTGCTCTTTTTTTTCTTTTGTAGAGAAAATTGATATTAAAAATCATCATCTGTGTATTAATAAAGACAATATAATAGCCAAAAATGTCAGCAGTTTTAAGCAAGATAAACACTTCTCTTAATCTGAAATGTCAAAGCAATTTTGTTAAACCAAAAAGTCTTTTTAAAGAGCAGCATGACGGTAGGAACCCATGTCAATAAATTACAAAGCAAAGCAGAGTCAAGTTGTTAAACTGTTTCTAGCTTCAATGGAGAACACACACACACCAAGCAGCCAGCATTTCTCATTCCCTCAAATCCTCAGTCTCTGAGCAACACAGGTAAACAGATGACTTGGAAGTGCCAGATCAGTTACTGATCTTGCTCAGCAATACGTCTCTAACAGTGACAGAAAAAGACTCCCAGGAATGAAATGCAAGAAATCTTAATATAAGAAATTATACCTTCCTCCAGGAGTTCCCTACAGCCACATATATGTGTGTATATAAAAGTATGTGTGTGTCTGTGTATACACACATGGCTAATTTTTTAAAAAATAATTTATTACCTTTTCTAGCATGTGCATTCTTTTCTAATACTCATAAAAAGACAATTTCTTCAGCTGCATTCCCCTCAGACTTTGGGTGAAACGTTTCATTTTTTGGAGTTTGGACACCAGTTAAGCTGTCTGCATGCATGTGGTTTGAACACAATCCATAGATGCAGAACCTTTGCACTCTTAATAAAGAATTGGGTTTAGTTTAGAGAGACAGAGGCCTCCTGTACTATTACCCACCATGTGGTGCACAAAACACCTCAGCCAGGCCTGAAGGCTCAGAGCACCAGGGCTGCAGGCACACCATGAGAAGACAATGCTGGCCAAAGACTGATTACAATGCAAAGCTATTTGCTATTTGGAATTGAAACAGGGCTCATCATGACAAGCCTGGAAGCAATACTTGTTCACTGATGCCTGAGCCACTTATAAGGTTTGAAATTCACACTTTTGGAAGTGTTTTCTCTCTTTGCTTTAAATTGTGTGTAAACTCGTCCTCATTTCTCACAACAGCAGAGTTGGTTATGCCACTGCAGTGATCACTCATTTCTATATGTACATATTTTCTAATATAGCCAATTATAGCAATATTGCTTTGTGCCACTATTACAAATTTAGAGGATAAGCAGCATGTGTTTAAAAAACCCAGAAAACACAAGAGCCTTTTCCCCACCTAAACAGTTTAGGAGGGCTGCCTAGTATTCCAAATTAAAAATTGAAATTTTTAGTCAGCGCACCCTTTTCCTCTCCCACTAATTTTTATTGCATAATCAGTGTTATTTTGGACCGGTTTTGCCTTTTAACTTTATCTAAGTTCACGAACTTGAAAACAAGGCTGGTTCCCAAGGGACTCCTGCTCAAACCTTATAGTTCTAGTACTAAATCTTTAAAACATGGGATGAAACACAACATATACAGCAACACTAGAGCTCTTCTGAACTACATCAGCACAGACCTTTTTTATTCATGCAAATCCCTCCAGGCAGTGGCAAGGTAGAGCTCATTCCATTCCCTGTCCCCAGGCTAGCTGGGCTTCACCACTGCTCTGCCAAGCTCTGCTGCAGTGAAGACTTCCATGCGAGGAGATGCTGCAAACTAAATTTATGTCTCTGATGATTCCAACTTTATCTGGAGCTGAAGCCTGGCAATTCGCAGAACCCTAAGCAGTCCTCAGATAAAT